ACAAATGCAAAATTGGAGCATGCCATATCTTCACATAGCCAGATGTTGGTGGGGATAAGTCATGGAGTTCAGCAAACTGGTTCTCTCCCAAGAAATCAGGCATGGTGAAGGGGGTGGCGGGGCAGAGGGGAAGGGGTGGCGGGGGGAGGGGGTGCACGGGAAGGGGTGCACGAGCTAGCTGATTCACTGAGCCTGAGCCTAGCCGCCCGCAATCCGTATGGGACATCTTCCTCAGAGCTGTGAGGGATCCGGGGTGCGGAGGGGAAGGGCAGGGGGGGTGGGGCGTGCGCGGCAGCGGGGGGAGGGGTTGGCGTGCAGAGGGGAGGGGGAAGGGGTAGAGGAGGTGGCGGGCAGAGGGGGGTGGCGGGGGAAAGGCAGAGGAGAGGAGAAGGGGAAAGGAAGAAGAAGAAGAAGAAAGAGAGGAAAGAAAAGAAAAAGGAAAGAAAGAGAAAGAAAAAAAGAAAAGGAAAAAAAATTTTTACCTTACAAAAACTTCTACAAAAATTTTTACCTTATAAAAATTTCTACAAAAAAAATTTTCATCTTTTAAAAACTTCTACAAAATTTTTTCAAATACTTCTACAGTGCACTATAGTAACGTTTTAGACAAACTCCCAAAAAACTCAGGTTCCAAACAGGCCCCTGGTTATCACAAATGAGACATGTTTTAGACATTTTATTGGCTAAAGGTTTTAGTAAAGAAAATTTGAAGTACAAGGCAGATTTGCCTTGGAAATTCTTGAAACTTTAATGGTTTTGTTAACCAACTTTCCGAATGAATTTTCTTATGAAATTTGACAGAGGAATAACCCTTATATCATAGTGTAATACTGCTAATTTTGGTGCCATTCCAAGTCTATTTCAATATCCAACTGAAGTCCCAAAGTTCATGTTTTAAATCTAAAAATTCTTGATCAAGGAGGAATTTTTAGCCAACTTTGAGCTGCTATATCTTGGCGCTCAAAAGTTCGATTCTTGTTCCGTTTGTTTTGTTTTAAACTTTGAATGTAGTTCTAACTGAGTTCCAAATTTCGGAGGCTAGTTCGTATTGTGAGAATTTTGCCAGATTTTCAAAGTTGGTCAAAAACCAACCCCAAAACTGTCTTAAGTGCCAAAACAACAACTTTGAGCCTATTTTTGAATACCTTCCATTTGGAATCATGAAAAAGTATATTCTAAGAACTTTTAGCACTTTTGAAGAGGTTTCCAACGGTATCAAGTTTTCCAATTTTGGACCTATATAATGCAAGATATGATTTTTCTAAAATCGACACCAAAGCTGAAATTTGTCAATTTCTTAGAAAATAAGATTTTTGAAACTTGCCTTCTTTTCTCGATATCGATTGAACATTTTGAACCTCGAGTTACACGAACTCTTAGACTCGTCTTCGCGTTAATTTCTTAGATTGTACTAGTGTACAATCTTTCTCGATAATTAGAGTGATATTGAGTGGTAGTTGATTATTGTTTGCTCAGGCGCCCGAGGGGATCTTCAAGAGGAACTCAGAGTGGACGCCTAAACGCTTGCTGAAGAACTCACTTGCTTGCTTTGAATTAGGTGAGTGTTCCATATAGAAATACGTAATTGAATAAGTCTAGGACATGTTTATTCATGATTATTAAGTGTTACGTACTATGTGTTAAGTATTTACCACACTCATGCCTATTTAAGAAATGTATACTTGAATTGCCTATTTACATGAATTGGTTAAATGATTAACCATATCAAATGACCCTAAGAATTCGATACATGCTTAACTTGCTAGATTGCTTGCTTAGCCTACTTGGTTTTGAAAAATGGGATCGAGTGTGTATTTTATCGCACTCGTTCTCTTTTGAGATGAATAACTCATGCTTGAAAATGCTCGAATAACATGACTTAGTATGCTATGGTTGCATACGTCGTTGGAGTGAATTTCCTCGACTCTCACATGGTAAAATGGGTTAATGGCTAATAGTGGCCTATTAATATAACAAATACTTGTCAATTAACCGAGACTACTCAACCGTTAACCGTTAACCATTAACCGTGAACCGTTTATCAAATCACATGACTACCTGATTACTTGATTATCTGTTTACTCGATTTCCAATTTACATGATTATGTGATATCCGTGAATTACATGCTCCCATGAAATCAACTTGTATTGCTTACGTGCTACGTGCTAAGTATCTACTTGATTACTTGATGATCATGAATCACATGTTATATGAAATTGTCCATCATTTTAAGGCGAGTGTGTACTTTATCTCACTCGACCTATTAATATGATAAATTTTTACCGTTCGTCAAGTTACTTGATTACTTGTGCATGTTGTAAGCTCTAAGCCGAACTGGGCCCTACTCATAGTTACTAACCTACTCGAGCCAGGACTGGACTTAGTCGGGTAGGTTGGAACCTTGGGACACCGTTTCGGTATACTCGAGTACTACCACTGGAGGGATAAGGTGATGGCCAGACAAATCGAGGGGATCCGGAAGTTATAAGGTGCAGATGGCCGAAATGGTTCCACTGGAACACCGTATCCTTCAATGTATGTTTATTTTGCATAATGATAACCGTTTCATATAAATGTGCCGTACCTGTGATATGCTCAAATTACTTGTACAATGATTATTGTCTCATGTTAATATGCCAATGTGTAATCTTTACCATACATATGATATGCTCAATTACTTGATTTATTAGAACTGCTAGAGTGTCTTGGAACCTCACTGGGTTGTGTAGCTCATCCCACGTTTTGGGTTTCTTTAACAGGGTTCGAGACCAAGAGTGCTCGTGAATTGTACTAGATTGCCTTCTTTTGAAAATTTAAAGTTATATTACAGCAGATGGCTGTAGTAAATATTCTTTTGGATTGTATTAAGCTTGAGAGTTGATTAATTGTAAGTGTGAGATATTTTGGAGTATTTTAATTATGTATTGAAGTCATTGAAGTATTCCGAGTTTTGAATTGTGGATTGTAATGAGTCCTGGCGAGAGTTGGGCAGGCGTCCCGCGGATACCCTTTGGCTCGCCTTAGGGAGAAGTGGGGGCATCACATTTGTGCCATAAATGGACTCTATCTCCCTAAACTCAAGTATTTAGTGAAATTTCTCCATTGTTATCTTGCAAGTTATTTAGTTAAAATAGTTAGATAGCAAGTATTGTTATTTCTTTTGCCTTCATTTGATAGATAGTCTAACTAATAAAGTAAAGGACCTAGTACTTGTAATTGTTGCTTCCTGTGGGATCAACCTGATATATGTCCTAAACTACTATTTGACATGTATACTTGCAGTCAAATGGATATATTTTGGATTAAACTTGTACTTATATTGAGAATCCGTCAAGTTTTTTGCGCCATGGTCGAGGAGCGGCAATATTAGGGACTAACAAACTTTATTAATTTAAACATTTTCTTTATTAGTCAAAAAAAATTTGTCAATAGATAGGTTAGAATTTTTATTTGTCTTTATGATATAACTACTACATAATCTCTTTTCTTCTTGTTTATAGTGTATGCACCAGACATTACGTGTAATTGAACCTTTTGATCCGAAAATTGAAAGGACACTACATAGACAAAGAAGGCGTACATTACAACAAGAGGAAAAAGAAGTTCAACATATAAAGGGAATCGGTATTGAGTTACCTTTTGAAGAAAAAGAAATGACGGAAAACATAACAAATAGGCGAGATCTTAGAGATTTTGTTCTATCGGGGAGACAAGGATCATAAACAAACATAGCACGGCCAACGGTAAACGCTAATAATTTTAAGATTAAACCATCACTCATTCAAATGGTTCAATAATCCCAATTTGGAGGTAATGTCATAGAGGATCCAAATACACACTTAATCATATTTTTTGAGATATATGATACAATTAAAATAAATAAAATTAGTGAAGATGTTATAAAACTAAGGCTCTGTTTGGATTGATCATTTTTTCAAAAATAAGTTTTTCAAATACAATACTACAGTAATACACAATAACTCAAAAAATATCTCATCCATACAATATATCAAATATTTCAAAAAATTTTATGGTAAAATTTTTTTGATATACACTGTTACAGTAAAATTTTTTCAAAAACAACTCAAAAATAGCTAATTCAAATAGAGCTAAGGTTGTTCCCATTTTCTTTGAGAGATAAAGTTAAAATTTGGCTACATTCTTATGCTCCTAATACTTTGACTACTTGAGATGATTTATGTAAGGACTCGAAAATTCTATTATTTTAAAAATCCCTAATTTTGGCTAAATTAATTATTTATTTGGATTTTTGTCACGAATAATATTTTTTTAGCCTTATTGGACCTAAGTACATGGTTTATAGTATCGTTATATATTTAAAATGTTTCATTTCAAAAATTATTTTTTTAAAAAAATAAAAATAAAAAAAGCCTGATTAGTGAAAAGTGAAAACGTGTCTGAAAACTTTGGCCAATTGGGAGTACAATAAGTTCAAAAATTTGAGACATATACAACGGTCCTAAAATAGACAATTTTAGGTTTAAGCACACAAGTGATAGCTAGTGGTACGATCATTATAAGAATTTCTCGAAAGTTTCATTTTATTGCGCCTAAATTGGAAATACGTGTTTTCACGTGCGCGCTTAATTGAGGGACTTTGGACAATTATTTTGGAACAATTCAGAATGAATAATATTTATATGAATGTAGGTGCCCTAGAGGTTTAGTGCACTAGTGCAACAAACATAAGGGAAATTGAACACAAAACGCGCGAGTAGGGCACTAGTTGCAATTAAATTTTACGTACTTAAAATATTAGACGGTCGGCGTTCTTTGTACGCAAAAAGGAATCAGACTAACATTCATATCAGCAAGTTTCATGGACGGCTAGCAACTGCAGCAAAGAGCAACCGAAAAACTTCCACCATTTCCTCTACAAACTCCACCAAATTCAACCAAAACTTCACACACACTTAGCTCTTCACTTGGACAATCACTTGGACAAAGAAGGAGCTGCACATACACGATTTTTTTGGGGCTTTTGGACACCAAAATCTGACCTTTTAGCACACAAGTAAGGTAACCATGATCCACTCTTCAAATCTTGTTCATTGAAGGCCAACTCACACTTAAGAGCTTGATTATGCTTATGGGTAGCTTATTATTGTTAGAAATTGTTAAATGTGGGCTCTATGAACTCCCACTTTGAGTTGATGGCTGTGATGATGTTTGATGATGGTTTTATTGTTGAATTAGTGTTTAAGGGAGTAGATTAAAGGTGCATTATCGCCAGAAACTTCATTGAGCTCTTGAAGCAAAAAGTTCCCATTTTACCCCTGCTTTGTTCGGTCACTTTAATGCAGAAATTTGAGGATTTAATGGCTTGATTGTGTTGTTTATATGTTGTAGTAGTTGTGTAAAAATTTTCATTGAAAAATACTGAGTTTTGGTTGGTCAAACGAATTTATTCCCAAAGCTAGTAATCTGGAAAACGGTTTCGTCGTAATCCAGACCAGTGTTCGTATTTCGTCCATAACTCCGTACTCCGACGTCGAAATCAAGTGCCGTTAGCGGAATTTGAAACTAGATGTTCCCATCTTTCCAACGGTATATAATGCATGTTCTGGTTCGATGTGTGTGAACCGCACCACTCATCTGAATTCAGCTGCCCTGTTTCGCCGTTCTGCCGAAATGATTTGATGATGCTGCAACTTTAGGCTTAATTTCGAGCTAGTTGCATGCTGAAACTTAAAACGATTTATTCTGTGAAATTATATCCCTATGCATGTATTTTCTAACACTATCAACCATGCTCAAATCCGAGTTAAATTGAGTGAGTTATGATCAAGATACGGTGACTGTTTTGTTCTTGAAAGCCTTGGATTTGGACAGATTTGACGTGACATTTGTGGTGGTCTTACTAAATGAATTTCTTGGTACTAAACACCTACCAAATGTACCATGAATGTTTCTTAAACTTTCCTTTCACATATGAACCATGATTGGAGGATTTTCTTAGCCAAACGATTGGATTTGGGAAGAAAAGGATTAAGGGCAGATTGCCTTGAGAATTTTTCCAAACTTTGGTTGATTGGTTAACCACCTTCCCGAAGGTATTTTTCCACGAAATTTGATAGAGAAATACCCTTCATATAGGAGTACCATACTACAAAATTTGGTGTCAATTCAAGTCTGTTTCGACACTTAACAAAAGGTCCAAAGTCGGAACCAAATCTGAAAATTTTGTAACAGTCTTGAATTTTTCCCAACTTTGAGCTACCATATCTTGGTGCTCGAAACTCCGATTCTCGATCCATTTGTTCTGCCCTAAACCTTACTTGCACCTCTAATTGAGCTATAAATTTCAAGGGCTGGTTTGCAATGAGTGAATTCTGCCGAATTTCCAAAGTTAGCAAAAAACCAACCCCGGCTCAATCTTGGGTGATCTGGGACAGCAACTTTAAACTCATTTTGAATACCTTCCATTTAGATTCGTGGAACAGTGTCTTCTAGGAACTTTTAGTACTTTCAAAGACGATTCCAACGGTACCAAGTTTATCAATTTTTGACTAGTAGAAAAGAAGTTATGATCTTTCAAAAATTTGACCAAAAATCGAAAAATTCTGAAATTTCAAAGGAAATCTGCATGGGAACTATTCTACCAGAATCCGGCCAGTTTCTGGCCGGATTATCGGCCGGATTGGTGGTAAAATTTGAAAAAAAGGGAGGTTAGCCACTGCCTCCAATCCGGCCAGAAATCCGGCCGGATATCCGGCCAGGTTCCGGCCGGATTGTGACGTGGCCATCCCCCTTCCGATTTCGATCGTTCGTTTTGCAATCGTTTCGCACGTACTCGTTTCCATCCAATGATTTTAAAAAAAATAAAAATCCGATATTACTCGAGTCTCGTACCTTTTCGAGAATCCAACTTCAAAGACAAGTTTAAACGAAATTTCAAAATACTTCCGAACCCTACTCGTGTTCAACCTTTCACACCACTTGGGGACCTATAGTAATTGTCTACTATTCAATGTTCAGGCACGCACGAGGACCTCCAAGAGGACCCTACCGTGGAAGTTTGAACTCTCAATCCAACCTACTTGCTTGCATATCTTGGTGAGTGTCAAGTGTTTGACTACTTGAACTCTATGGTCTTGATTACATGCTTAGCCTACTTGATTCTTTGAAAATGGAGTCGAGTGTGTACTTTATCGCACTCGTTCTCATTTGAAACAAATGATTCATGCTTAATATGATTTACCTGGTTTACATGACTTGAAATACTGCTTAAAACTGTCAAATACCTGAATACATGACATAGTATGCTATGATTGCATACGTCATTGGAGTGAACCTCCTTGACACTTACATATACACGAGGGACGCCCAAATTCATAGGCCGACCTTGGAACTCGAGCCGGCATGGGCTTGGTTGAGAACCTCGGTGAGCCATGAGATTCACAGGATAAGCTTGATCTATTGAGAGATCTCGCTTGGCATACTCGTGTAGTATCGCCTTATAAATGTCGTGCGGGCCCGAAGCGGTGTATGGTGGACGGATGAGAAGTAAGTGGTGAACTACGGATATGAAAATATCAACCCGAGTGACGGAGAGTCATCACGGGGAGATATACGAATGACATCGGCAAAATGTGGAACTTAGCTCCTGAGAGCTACTATATTCTTGAATTGTTTTTGGTTACATTTTGTTGGCATTATTAATTGCTTTCAAATTATTACTTGAATTGTAAATTGGGCTTGTTACCTGAGCTATGTGCCTGCATGTGTGTTCTTGGCCTCACGAGCGTTTTGCTCACCCTGTAGATTTGTTTTCCTTAACAGGTTTGAACTCGGAGGTGAAATGGAGAAACCCTCCTAATGTACTTTTGTTTAGGGTTTGCTATTACTCTTGGTTATACCTTTGGTTTTGGATTGTACTTTTGGGTATGGAAATGTAACTTTTGGGGCGAAATGTATTTTGTATACCGACGTGTGGATTGAATAATGGATGACGATTATTAAGCTTGAACGCTTCCGTATTTATTGTATCTAAGTTATTGTCTTGTATTGTGTGGTCCGGTTATAAGTTGAAATGGAATTGCTTGAGTCCTGGCGAGAGTTAGGCAGGCGCCCCGCGGATATCCTTTGGTTCGCCTTAGGGAGAAGTGGGGGCACCACAGTTGGTATCAGAGCTAGGTTAGAGATCTATATGGGGAACATATTAGATACTCTACCCTTAAGACTCGATATGGGATGATTTAGTCATACCTAAAATGATACTCGGGACGAACTAGCAACTAAGTTAGTTTTACCTAGAGTGATATTTGGAGACGAATTAGTGATTAGGTAAGCATGCATTACAGGATATTCGAACTAAATAGAGATTTAAATTTCTAACCCAAAAGGTGCTATTATTTTGCAGGGATGGAAAACGGAAATAGAGTTCCGGCAGCTAACGGGAATGGCCATGCGAATGGTCATATAGCGCCTCTTAGACCTATCTTCTGTAAGGATCGGAAACAACCAAGTGAAAGAGATAAACAATGCAAAGATCATAAATGTAACAATAAGTAAAAGGAAAGAATTGCAAACCAATTAACTACCCAGCTCCTCTTGAGCTTCAAACAAGCTACTTCAAATTGATGAATTACAATCACTCTTGTGTACAAAGGAAGGTTCACCTCCTCCTTGCCCCGAACTCCCTCGGTCAAGCCAGGACGTTTTACTATCCCTCAGGACAACCCTCACAGAGCTACACTCATGAAGTATTCACTCACAAATGAAAAGCTTACAATGAACCTCACACCACTAAGACTAGAAATCATCTTTGAAGAGTATTTTCTCACTAAAATCTCTCTAGATCTTTTGTATCTTCAGTGTGCCAAAGTTGTTTGAAATGTCTGACCAACAATTATTTATATAGGACCAAGGAAGTGCCTCATTAATGCTTCCAACGGATAGAAAGTAGCTGAACAGTCAACTAGCCGTTGGTAGTGTCGGACGTCCGATAGCCCTGTTTTATGCGTCCGACAGCAGGCAATGAGTTTCAGAGATTTTCTTCAATTCTTTCGGACGTCCGGTGCAAGCTCTTTGTGCGTCCGACGGCAAACAAACAGATTTGAGAAATTATCTTGTTTCTATCGGACGTCCGGTAGAGACATATTCAGCGTCCGATAGTTTCGTCGACTTCGAAGGATCCTATTGGACGTCCGAAGCATGCGTCCGAAGTTGTACAATGATTATCGGACGTCCGATCCTGACTTCTTGAGCGTCCGACAGCTTCAGCATACTTTGTCATCTTTCAATTGTACTTGATCTTTGGAACTAATTTGCTTCATAACTGAATAGATCTTTTAAGAGACATTAGTAACATCCATTTGTTTTGTAAACATCAAAAGATAGGGATCAAGATCAACAATCTCCCATTTTTTGATGATGACAAAACAATGGATGGAAAGAAACAAAAATAAGTATAAGCTCCCCTCAATCATTGCAACCAAAACTTTTAAGAGCCAAACTCATAATCTCAGAATAACTCCGCCTTACACATTGCATCCATTTCTCCCCCTTTTTGTCATCATAAGAGTAAATATCAACTACTATAATCCAGCAACAATAACAGGAAATTCAATATTCCAAGAAAAAATAGAGAAATGACATCAATCACAGCAAATCATCATGAGATCAGCATTATTCTTTTATCTCTCTTTTTGACATCATATAGATTCAGTAGTATTCAAAGATATCAGCGAAAACTCAGATCAAAGTATCAAAAGAAAAAATATTATGAACAAGAATCACTGCAATGATTAGACAAAACCTCCTACTTGTTAAAATTAGTATCATGTCTAACTATCCACATGCATTTCATGCCTCTTGTCATATTTTTTCTCACATAACAATCACTTTTCATGTGACCTTTTTGACAACAAAAATTACACATAACCAAAGAGTTATTTACACGAACAGGTTTAATAAATCTTATTTGTCTTCTCCTATGGATAGCAAACTCATTTGAATTAGAATTCAACCTATTCTTTTGAAAACAGACTTGTTTCTTGTGTTTAAGCAACTCATTTAGACCATCCATTCTTCTTTTCAAATTACCTTGTTCCTTTTTGAACAAATCACAAAGTTTTGCTTTTCTATCAAGCTCAAAATGTAAAGCAGTCTCACTCTTTTTGAAGTAATCATTTTCAGCAATCAACTTTTTGTTTTGTTGAAAAAGATTTGCATTATCTCGAAGCAAAAAACTAATTTTCTGTTTTAACTCCTTATTTCTAGCATAAGATTCTTTCAAACTATCATGCAATTTTATAATGAAATGTTCAAGATCATCTTCAGTTTCATCATCACAATCAGATTGAGAGTTAGAAGATGTTACCTCATCATCTCCAATGGCCATGAAAGCCAATTGAGCAGATTGATCTTCCTCTTCAATTTCACTATCGGAATTGCATTCATTCCATGTGAATTGAAATTTGTTTATTCTTGGTTTTCTTCCTTCTTTCTTCTTCATCACTGGACAGTCACTTGCATAGTGTCCAGGTTGGCCGCATTCAAAGCACTGATCAGTTTGCTTTTTGTTGAACTCTAGTTTCCCTTTGTTTCTCGAGTTGTTGAACTGATTTGGGAATGAATTGCTAGGTCCACCTTTTCTGAATCTCCTCTTGTTGAGTATTCGTTTGAAACTTTTTGTGATGAGAACGATATCATTGTCATCACCTTCCACATCTTCTTCATCTAGGGAGGCAGAATCATCTTCATCTTGTGAGGCTTTTAGAGCAATATTTTTTCGCACATTTGCATCCTCTTCCTCTTGCACCTTAGTCTTAAGTTTCAGCTCATAAGAGGTAAGAGAATTAATAAGAGATTCAATAGGCATAGTATTCAAATCTCTAGTCTCCTCAATAGCAGTCACTTTATTTTCTCAATCATTGGACAAGGCATTCAGGATTTTTCTATTTTTCTCACCAAGAGAATATTCTTTTTCCAGCACCTCTAAATCTTTAATGAGATCATTGAATCTACAATACATTTGATCAACATTTTCATGAGGTTCCATCTTGAAAGATTCATACTTTGTAACTAGAATGGACTTCTGTTGTTCTCTAACATTCTCACTACCTTCATGAATTTCTTTCAGTTTGTCCCAAATTTCTTTAGCTGACTTGCAACCCTTGACTCTAATAGATTCATTTGAGTCTAATGCACAATATAACACATTCATGGCTTTTGCATTTAAGGTGAGATGAGCTCTATCCACAGCAGTCAGTTCACTTCTTGTTTTCGGTCTAGATGCATGAGTATTTTCATCTATAAGAGAGGCATCATATGGACCTTCACTAATAATAAACCACAATTCGATATCAATAGATTGCAAAAAGATAATCATTCTTTCTTTCCAACTCATATAATTTGACCCATTAAACATAGGTGGTCTAATAACAGAATGTCCTTAAAAAAACATAGCATTATTGGTTGTCATTTTTACTCCCAAGCCGATTGAGCTTAATCTCAAGGAGACCAAGCTCTGATACCAATTGTAAGGATCGGAAACAACCAAGTGAAAGAGATAAACAATGCAAAGATCATAAATGTAACAATAAGTAAAAGGAAAGAATTGCAAACCAATTAACTACCCAGCTCCTCTTGAGCTTCAAACAAGCTACTTCAAATTGATGAATTACAATCACTCTTGTGTACAAAGGAAGGTTCACCTCCTCCTTGCCCCAAACTCCCTCGGTCAAGCCAGGACGTTTTACTATCCCTCAGGACAACCCTCACAGAGCTACACTCATGAAGTATTCACTCACAAATGAAAAGCTTACAATGAACCTCACACCACTAAGACTACAAATCATCTTTGAAGAGTATTTTCTCACTAAAATCTCTCTAGATCTTTTGTATCTTCAGTGTGCCAAAGTTGTTTGAAGTGTCTGACCAACAATTATTTATATAGGACCAAGAAAGTGCCTCATTAATGCTTCAAACGGATAGAAAGTAGCTGAACAGTCAACTAGCCGTTGGTAGTGTCGGACGTCCGATAGCCCTGTTTTATGCGTCCGACAGCAGGCAGTGAGTTTCAGAGATTTTCTTCAATTCTTTCGGACGTCCGGTGCAAGCTCTTTGTGCGTCCGACGGCAAACAAACAGATTTGAGAAATTATCTTGTTTCTATCGGACGTCCGGTAGAGACATATTCAGCGTCCGATAGTTTCGTCGATTTCGAAGGATCCTATCGGACGTCCGAAGCATGCGTCCGAAGTTGTACAATGATTATCGGACGTCCGATCCTGACTTCTTGAGCGTCCGACAGCTTCAGCATACTTTGTCATCTTTCAATTGTACTTGATCTTTGGAACTAATTTGCTTCATAACTGAATAGATCTTTTAAGAGACATTAGTAACATCCATTTGTTTTGTAAACATCAAAAGATAGGGATCAAGATCAACAATCTCCCATTTTTTGATGATGACAAAACAATGGATGGAAAGAAACAAAAATAAGTATAAGCTCCCCTCAATCATTGCAACCAAAACTTTTAAGAGCCAAACTCATAATCTCAGAATAACTCCGCCTTACACATTGCATCCATTTCTCCCCCTTTTTGTCATCATAAGAGTAAATATCAACTACTATAATCCAGCAACAATAACAGGAAATTCAATATTCCAAGAAAAAATAGAGAAATGACATCAATCACAGCAAATCATCATGAGATCAGCATTATTCTTTTATCTCTCTTTTTGACATCATATAGATTCAGTAGTATTCAAAGATATCAGCGAAAACTCAGATCAAAGTATCAAAAGAAAAAATATTATGAACAAGAATCACTGCAATGATTAGACAAAACCTCCTACTTGTTAAAAT